GTTGGAGCCATTGCTAGTAAGTTGGAGCCATTGCTAGTAAGTTGGAGTAAGATCCTTGAGATGTTGATCACCCCCCCGATCCGACATCTCCTCCACGAAGGCTCTCAGGGCCTCATAGTCGCGGCCGCCCTTGTAATCCGACAGATCATGAGGGTCGCCATGCCTGGGTCCCACAAGAACAAGACCGGCGGAGTGCAGGAGCTTGGCTTGCATGTAGTGAAACACCAAAGGCTGTGCACAAAAAGCCCGGAGAAACGGGTCGTATGTCTGGTTTGTAGAATCAATATCCTTCAACTCTGTTGATGTTCTCCTTCACTCACCCCTGCAACTGCCGGCTACCAGGCTACTTGATGGTGGGAAAGCCCTTGACGCCCACATCATCACACTTGGACTTCCCCGCGCCGATACAGTCGACATCAGCCACCAGAATCGAAGGGCTGTCCTGGTACTCACTCATGAGCTGGTCCCAGGCTGGCTTCATTGATCTTAGTGAGGCAGAAGAGCTCTCTGGCAAAACATGGAGAGGACTGAGGAGAAAGAAAGGACGATGGTGGACATGGTTGTGAGGAAATGATTCTTGACCGCCATCCTTGGAGAAGCTATTTACTGTACATGTAAATATGTAGATAAAGGATAGATACCTATATATAAATAATGCAATATGCCAAAGCTGTTCTGGCCACGATTTTTCACGGCATGCCAAACTGTTGTGCGATGCTTCAACCTCCATGAGGGAAAAAGAAACAAACGCATCAAGAACTTGTTTGACTTCATCACGCGTCTTGCAGTGGCCACACCATGGAGCAAAGAACTTCACAAAGACCGTCTTCCCGGCCGTCTGTTCCTGATCGGTCAAGGCTTGGATTGGCCCAATTAGCCCCGGATTGCCAGATTGACTTCAACCTTCAAAACTGCAATACTTTTCCCTTGTCAGTCATCCCAGCCACTGTGAACCTTCAAGAGTGCAAAGTAACTAAGGCCCAGCCCTCAACCCGCCCCAACTCCCTGGCCAGGCCATGGTTGCCTCCCGTCCCGCTCTGCACGGACGCTGCACCCCCTGCCAAGCATCGTCCCAATTCTCCTGTGTGAGCTCAACTGCCCAGGAGACCCTCATCAGAAGCGCCAGTCGCAGCACAGGCTTCATGGCAGATTCAACGAGGTATGGGTCAGATCTGGAGGTAAGCTACGCCGTACGCCAGCTCACCATGCTCGCTTGATTAACATGCGGCTTGGTGGAACCAAGGCATCCTCAAGTCTGAATAAGTCGTGCAAGGTGGGGAGGGCTGGTGGAGAGCAAATGCCTACCAGCAAGGCCTGTCCGTCCTTAGTTGACATAGGGCTTTACGGGGATGTAACATCTTATCTTATCACTACACATAAGGGAGGTTGTCAAGTTCACTTCGTGAGAATCACCAATTAAAGAGCAATTACCAATTGAATTATGAATTGACAGGAACACCAGGCTATTCTCATCCGTTCACTATGGAATGCGTTGACAGGACGCGGTACCTTGATGGAGACCCAGCGGAAGGATTTGCCGATGGAAAGAAGAGCATGGGCTGTGCACCGTGCCAGTGTACAGGCTTGAAGCTGGCCTGCCAACTACGCCATGTGGTCCAAACATGACATGTTAGACATGGTCCTTTGATTTTTTTGATCTTAAATGGGCTGCACAGCGCACTAGTCAAAGTGAAGAGCTAGTGAAGGCGGCGATCGCCTCTCACTGCGATCAGCAGCTTTTCTGGTGACATGTATCTCAGTTGAACAAGTGCACTCTCGCTAACTCTCCTCTTTGTACAGTCAAGACACTGGGAACAAGAACCTCTGGTGGTAGGAGTCTTTGACAAATGGCATGTCACATGTCACAGAGGCCAAAGGCTGGGTGCCCGTGTCTCGTCCACACAGCGGATGGTTCTCGTTCCTCATTGTCTTGAGCGCCCCAAGCAGCAACGCAGCGCCGGCCCACGGCTCACCAGAATTCACCAAAGCCAAGAAACACATTTGCTAGTGAAAACAGTGAAAAATGTTTGTTTGTTTGCTTTTTTAAAATCCATCTTCCAGCCTCCGCTGTGTGCACACCTGGCACTTTGAATTTTTTGAGCCGAAAAGCTCAGCCACTGGGGCTACAACTCGGCTTCATCGCGGCTGTGTGCCGAAGAAGTCCCTCGGCTTCGCTCCGGCTTCTTCGGCTTTGCCCGGCGGTTGTAGGCCTGGGAGCACGTGGAATGACTGGCCAGGTTTGAGGTGAAGGTCCTCAAAACCCCGCCAGCTCTGTTGCGAGAGGTGCCAGCTTGCCTGCACGGCCTTCATGATGTTGAGCCCACCCTGTTTGATGGCCTTTTGCTTCTTCTCCTGACATGGGATGAAAAAGAGCCCAGAACTCATGACAGGGAGAACATCATTCAACATCCACCTCTTCAACTTCTTTAGGGGGAATAGATGTCCTGTGGCCCGTGGGAATGGGCGTTATGAGGCTGCCGCATGAGCTCAGCTCTTCCCAACCCTTTGTGAAATGCAGCCAGTACCCAGTGCCCCCGCAATGCCAAACAACAGCCATTCGGAGCTGAGGCCATGGGCCAAGCTCCCGCAATCGAAGGACACAGTCTGATCCAACCCATGTCCAATCCCGAGACAGTGCAGGACAGCATAGTGATGGACACGATTCGGCACTTCACGTGAACCGCATAGGCCAGCTCCTGTACCTGGACAGCCTCATCGTACTTCTTCTCCAGCTTTGCAATAAAGCCCTCGGATTTCGGCAACACCCTAGCTCCTAGACTGCAAGCCCCAACCAAGAGCAAAAGCAATTGCAACGCGACACATGGACCTACAAAGTGGTAGTCCGTTGACCCTCACAGTCACCGCCAAGACCGCACCCTCTCCAAGAGTCTCAAAGCACTGCTCATTCGTGGCGCCCTAAGACTCCTGTAACAGCACCTCTTCACCCACCAGTCCCGACCAAATAGAACCACCACATGGTAGATGACAAATTGTTCGAGCATACTGGAACTCGGAGTCATTGACTGTTATAACTCGCCTTACCCTTGGAGTTCGATGTTGAATGGGGTTTCCTTCAGTGTGGGTAGCAGGCTATTTCTTTCCATAGCAGCTCAGGTGCTTTGAGCTCCTTCTCGGCCGCCGCGATCTGATCCTCCTTCCTCTTGATCTTGTACTTCAACTCACCTTTGCATGGTCTATCAGCTCCCATGGTCGTACAGGCGTCCAACTGAAGGGGAATTCTCGGAAATTCTTCCCACGGTGCCCAAAATCGGTGAGAAAAAAGGCGCCAGCTGTGGGTGAGTTTGCAAACCCTTGGCGATCAGCAATCTGTTCATTCGTTCTACGGAGTCTACCAGAGCCAAAGGTTGTCGCCACAAGGTCCTGCAAAAAAGCTACTAGTAGCAAGGATGCTACTAGTAGCTCCTGGCATCGCTACTACTTAGTAACAAAGGGCATCGCTACTAGGAGCAATCTGATCGCCCAGCAGCTCATGGGCAAGGCCAACAACTCCTCGATCTGCTTCCGGCGCATCTCGTCGCCTGGGACGTCCAGAAAGACCCTCAGATTTTGCCATTCTCTCTTGCAGTTGGATGAGGGTGAGGAGCACAGGTGAGGATGCGGGAGAAACATTGTTCCTGTACACCAACTCATGCCAAATGTTCTTCCTGCGGTGCGACAGGAAGACTGCCAATTTGGGTTCCCTAATGTTCATGAAGATGTCTCAGAAATGACACCTGAATTAAAGAAACGCAGTTGACAACCCCCCAAGTTGAGTCAAACCAGATAGTCATTGGTTGTGAGGCTTGGACGGTCCATGAGAACTGCATAGCCCAGGGGGTGGTCAAACCATGCGCCGAGAGTCGCACGAGAATTCCGCATGTTGCACGCAATATATGTGTAATATGATTATGGGTGTGTAGAGAGAGAGAGAGAGGGACTATTATAGTAATAGATAGTAATAATTTTTGTAATATACCGCACTGACTTTCGATCAAGCACTCATAACCGCGGAACTTCACAACCAGAACCTGCAGATTTGAGGGCAGCCCCTCAGCACATCACCCAACACTCCGCGTCTGTGACAGGGTAATTTCTGACTTGCGATCAGCTCACAGAGCTCCAGCCGCTCTGGGCCACAGGAGGGGCCCAGGTTCACCTGAAAAACCACTGCGGGCGGGCGGTCGTTCGATTTGGCCATCGAAGAGTCGAATGTTCAGAGTCTGTTGGATGGGGTAGTAGTCGAAGCCCCCTGAAATGTAAGAGTCGAAGCAGGTTCCCGTGAGACCCTGCTCGGTATGCTTATTGGTGATCAGGGATGCCTACCGAGCCATCCTTTTAGGCCTTGAGGATCCAAGGCCAAATCCCTAAGGAGTCTCATGGTGTAGGACAACTGTTGTGTTCAGGAATCAGTTGAATGATGCTGAATGCGTGAACGATGCTGAGTGCGGCCGGCCTTGGTGAAGTTGTTCAGGGCTTCGTAGTCGCGGGCACCCTTGTAGTCCTGATTTCGGGACCGCATTATTGGAAAAAGAACCACCTGGAGGATTGAACCGTGAACCTTTATGAATCGACGCAAGCTATCGCATGCAGATATTGTCCCTTTGAGACCCCAACAACATCCACAACATCCAAGATCTCCTCACCCTGAATGACCCAACGTCTGTGGTTTCTTGGTCGGATCCCTTCATAAAATCGCACTGTCAATGGCTGGGGTCATTGACTCGGCGGAATGGCCAGGTGTGCTTTGAAGATCCTGAGATGGACAAGTCATCCCATCCCTAAGAGCCTCGAGGCTGTCAGGATTTCCATACCTCAGCGCAGCAGGCAGACCGGCACTGCGAACATCTCAGAAGTGGCGGCTACTCAAGTGGCAGCTCTACAAGTCCGGCAGGTGCTTGGGGAGGGATGGCATTCTGCCTGAAAAGATCGGCTAAAAATGTCCTGCCCACTGCCATCAAGTCTCTTGAGGGTAGGGAAACCTTCAACCCCCGCATCATCACACTTGGATTTGCCAGCGCCAGTGCAATCCACTTCCGCCACGAGGATGCTGTCATGCTCGGCATACTCCTGCGGAGGGCGGAGCTTCAGCGTTCGACGGTGCAGCCGCTGTTTCTGGTCAAGGTGAGCGGCCACTTGCTGAAGAGCTGTTTCTACCATCGGCACGCGCACCCCCTCCTGCATAAGCTTCTCCCAGGCTGGCTTTAGCCTCTTGCAGTGGCCACACCAAGGGGCGAAGAACTTCACAAAGACCCGCTTTCTGTTGGTCATCTCCTACCGGCCAATATGACAGAGGTGGGAAGACAAAAAAAAACTGGGCTCTTGGGTGTGCAAGGCACGAGCCAACGGGCATGGGGGCCAGTAGAATACACTCTCCGCTACCTGTGAGGAAGTCTAGCATCAGCCTGTATATAGTTTCTAATGAAGGTCTATTGAATTGATCTGTCAAAAAATGTTGCAAGGAGGATGTTCCAAATAAAGGAACTCAGGAGCAGCTCGCAGCAGCCGGTATCTTCAGGAGTTCCTTGCCCACAACCAGCCTCCCATGAGTCTTTGGTGAGCTCCAACGCCAGGCTTTGCCATGCCAGGCATGCGGCCAGCAAGCGGCATGGCATGGCCAAAGGTTTCTACTACCTGCTGGTTGGAAGTAGACTGAAAAATGTCCAAAGTTGTTGCATTCTGTGACATGTGTTTGAGGGTCATTTGTGTGCTTCCATAGCCGCATGAAACCCCGCGTCTTGCAACTCACCGGCAATCAAATCACATTCAAATCAATAGCTCGAATAGTTACTTGATAGCTCGCCCGTTCTGAGGCGAATAGCCTGCACATCAAGCCTAAGGACTTCACTTTCTGAACGTGACAGGACATCAAATGCTTCCTTTTTGACCTAGGCTTTGCCAAAGTAGGCGTGCCCGAAAACGATGGGTCACTCTATCTCGTCCACCAGTTCCTCTGCCCACCCAGCAGAAGGGGTTGGACGAGGCGGAATTTCCTCGATGGGATTCATCAGGAGTCCTGGGTCGATTCATGAGTCTCAGCTAGGCAGCTAGGCATGTTGGACAGTCCAGCATTCGGAATGGTGGTCTGGCCTGGCCTTGACACACAAGGCCTGGATTGAAGCTTGAACCCGAAATGCTTCCGCCCGAAAAGCCCGTTAAACGGCTGTTCGCCCCGGACAATATCGGTAGTGCGGATTCACACACACTCAACCAACAAAACGATGTGAACATATTTTTAGCAAAAACATGCAAAAACTGCCTATATATATATATATACATACTTAGTTTGGAACCTATACCTGAGCATTCCATCCTCGGGGAAGCATGCCCAAAAGCGACACTTTTGCATGGGTACAGCCAAGCACCGGCCACCCTAACAACAGAATTACTCGCGCACAGAGTTCCCGCTTGTGTAAGCTTTGCTAAATTAACTATATATATAATGTATATTTCTGTACCTATATGTATAATTATGTATATATCTGTATAATATATATATATATCAAGAGCCACGGTCAAAATTTATATACTACTAGTTACTACAGTAGAATCAAAGGACGTTGGGATTTGGTGAGTGTGTTATCGTTTTCAGCTGGAACCTGCTGGAGATCCCATGTCCCTCTCTGTAGTGGTGTAGTCTTCTGTAAATGTTGACCGCGCCTAATATGCATATACATGGACAAACAAACCCAGGTTTCCAAGGATTGATGTTAAGCTTTGGAGATCCGCGGGCGCCACTTCCACCATGTGCACAACTGACCCCCCAAGCGGTTCAGGGCCCTGAAAGCTATGTGCGCGTGTTTCTCTTTCACATCAATGAACCAGAACAGAAAACCACGGCTTGGAGACACGTACCCAAAGAACACCCCCCTTCCGCCCACACATTGATCCCGCATCGGACCTCTTGGTACACAGCATCCTGCTCCAAGCTGGGCAGTGGCACCACCGCCCGGCCAGTCGCCTCGTCAGCCACATCACCAAATGAGCCCAGGCGACCCAAGTCTCATGGCGAGGGTGCCCCAGGTCTCTCCTTCAACGAATTCCCAGCACTTCATTGCACCGCTTCAGGTCAGCAGGCCCGTGTCCCTTCTCAGCTGGCTGCTGGCCACTCGCGGAACATCTGCAGCTACCGGCCACACCTGGCGGTCACCATAGCCCAGGGAGACCAACTCAATCTCACCCTCAAGAGTAAGGGGATGAAGTTGGGGAGCTTCGGAAATGCGATTGCAACAAATCTCAATGTTTCGCCCTGCCCTCTGCCTGGGCCACGAACCCTATGGATCCATCAAGAGTTGCAGGCAGCGGCTCCCTCTTTTTCTTCTTTGTTTGCTTCTATGTTGCTAATTTGGTTTCCTTCTTGCTCCTTCTTGAAATTTATTTGCGGTTGTTGCGTGCTCTTCTGTTCTTCCGCACGTTTGTGGCTCTTCGTTCCAATCGCACGCCCCCTTGGAGGTTAGCTAGGGATCACGGGTAGCTGTTCCACCCCGCCGAACGCACCGCTTTGGCCATCCACGGGCGCCTGTCCATGGCTCCCGGGTGGTTCCCCGGGACAACCGTCTGACGCCAGGGGCGCCACGGGAGGTCCGGGCGCTTCTGGGTCAGCTCGGCCAGGGCAGAGCCACGAGATGCGGCAAAAACAGAATAATGCACACGTAGGATTAATATGGATTAATCAACGGGGACCCCCCCTTCAAGGTCAACAAGGTCTGAGATTTAGGGTATTGGGGAGCCACATCCCCCTAATAAAGGTGATGACCTGATGATGGATGATGAGATGAGGACCTGGATGTGATGATGGATGATGGTTTGGTTGGGAAGATTTGGATGAGAAGGAAACTGCGGCTAAACCATGGTTTGGTGATGCTCTCTTTATTGGGAAGAATTGGAAGAGGATGCAGGATGAAAGCATTGGAAGACAAGAATGAGGGCAGAGGGTGGGATTGATTAATAGGGAAGGGGGTCTTACTAGGGGTAGGGCCTGTGTGAGGGGTGCCCTTTGTGAGCTTGAAAAAGATTTACAAAAGGGTGAAATGAAAGAATTTTGCCAGAGATTTTTTGGGGATGGTGGTAGCATAAGCCCTTAGGAGAAGCCATCAAAAGGATTGGTGAGAATCAGGAGGATGAGGAGATGAAGACACCAGCCTCTAAGAAAATGAGAACTATGAGGAGTTCATGAAGAAGGTAAAGAATATAAATATGAGTTGGACAAGAAGGTAAAGAAGCATGTGCAAAAGAACATGAAGAAAGTAAATAATAGAGAATTATAAATACAATAGTAAACTATATGTTTCTGGGGCAGCTGGGATTGATTAATAGGGGGTGGTTACTTAATCCTAGGTGCGCATTAGTGGTGTGCTCAGTATTGACTCAGACTGTACTCTTATGGATGGGCATGACAACCTCCATATCCAAAAACTCCACAGGGCACAATTCTGTAGCACTTGACCTCCGGAGGTGGCTTCAACTTGGTCCACCTCATGATTACAGTAATTCTACCTCCTGGAGCCTCCATGTAGTCACAGTATGCCCAGTGCCTCCTATCTGCCTATCCACTGCCCTCCACTCATCTCCGCTCCCTCACTCAATAACACGATTACAGTAACATCTTGAAATAAATGTACATGCCTTACCTTACCTGATATTTGCGTTTGAAGCCCCTTTCTCGACCTCCCAGTCTCCCCGCATCTTTTTGCATCTGTTTGCGCTTCTTCCGCAACGCCTACGATCTCACCCGAATTGACCGGAAGGGGGAGGGCCATGACGTGGTGCAAACAGACAGGCCCATGGGCGAACAAACATCGCATGACATCGCGCACACTTGGCACGTGTCGACCAATACTATCGTTTCTCCAACACATTTGTGCAGAGGCTCTCCTCCTTTCCGTTCCTTTGGTTGCAACCTACGGCCAGACTTCCTTTCTCCGGTGCGGGGGGGGGGCTGGGTTCTACCAAACATGTTATCACAGTGGCTGGGTTCTTGCACAGCGTGTCAGCCACTTGTGAAAGAATTTAATCTTGCTGCGTTGTCAGCTGCGTAGGCCGTAGTCATCTTGGCGTAGCCTGGGGGCAAAGCGTTCCTGGAACATTCTGCCACCAATCAGGCCGCTCACAATCACTGCACTTCAAAGTTCCAGGTTGGCGCCTGCCAATTTCAGCACGGCACCTGCTGGAGAGGCCTCGTGTCACTACCTTGGGCCAGCCAAATATCCCACGCACTCAGTTCCATCATCCAAAGACTTTGTAAAAGCGTTCACCTCTTCACGGGTTTGATGAAATGCCTACGATGTCTACAACACCGCAGGCAGCCTCTCTTTGCTGGACCGTGGTCTCGGATGCCGTTTGGCCGAGGTGCTATCAACTCCCTGGAGGAGAAGGCGGCGAAGTGTGTTCACGCTGATTCCTGGCATCAGTACATGCGGGCACCCGTGGGGATTTGACAGCGAGTAGGTATTTTTGAGCGCGGGAAATCATCACCACCACTTCGCATTCCGTGGATGTTGGGCCCTTTCTACGGCTTTGCTGCCTTGGAGCCCTGGTCTACCTGAACAGCATGCATCTCGCATCATGGCAATTGCTCGCCGGACACGCCTGTCTCTTTGAGGAATCCCCAACATCTCCTCCATGCGCTGATGCAGCTCCTCACGTCGCTCGGGCAGCATCCCGTCGATGTCGATCACCATGTCCTCCCGGGGCGGTTGCAGGCCATACGCCATACCCCCCAGCTGCACCCGGCCGCAAGCGGTCGGACCAAATCCGAATGAACATGTTCCTCTTCCCGGCTGGCCTGACTATATAGGGTGTTCCAGTCACCGGGTGCGAATCGAAGAATTGAAAACGGAAAACCGATAATCAAAAATAAAAACCGGGACCTAAAGAACCGAAAATCCAGAATCGGCAATCGAGAATCCCAACACAATAATACGGAATGGGCCCAGAACCGAATAATTATCGAGATATGTCAAGAACAAAGAATGAAAAAGTGAAAAGCGAGAATCCGCAGCAGGAGGAGTAGGAGTAGGATGGAGTAGTCGGAGTAGTAGCAGTAGGAGTGGCAGAAGTAGGTTGCCGTAGTGCAGCAGCAGCAGCAGCAGCAGTTGTAGTAGCAGTAGTAGGTTGTAGGTAGTAGGTAGCAAGTAGGTGGCTTCTAGGTTCTAACCCGCTTATCCTAAATCCGCATAGTCCACAATGCGAGTAGTCATTCCGAACTGAAAGGCATGCCACGTTTAAAAGCTGGGACCGGGGTTCTTTCACTTCATCAATGTTCAATCACTTGTTCAATCATATTCAGAACCGAACCGACCACTCTTTGAGAATCGAAGAACATCTGGCGCCATCGCTCTCGCCCGAAATGGCCCGTCCTCCGAGCCAAACTCCTCGTTGATCTGCTCCTGCTGCTCTTCCGTCAGCTGTGAGATGAGGCTCTCCTGGGCGCGTCGGTCCCAAATGCGGCCAGCAATGCCTTGGACTGGTTCTGGGACTGGTTATGGCTTTGGAGTCGAAAATTTCAGGAGGTTGAAGTCGTTGAATGTCTCAAACATCCTCAACTTGCGTGTGTGAGTGTGTGTGTGTAACCCTTGGAGTCACAGGGATCCTTTTGGATCGGAATGTAACCTTTTTGTTGAAAGGACCCTAGAGCAGTTCCATTGCTCCACG